TTAGCCAACAGAAAGGAATAGCATCAACATCAACAAAAAGGACATCTACGCCAAAACCCCATCTGTAGGTCACGAACATCAAAGACCAAAGGTAGATAAAACCACAAAGATGGGAGAATCCAGAGCAGAAAAGCTGAAAATTCTAAAAATCAGAGTGCCTCTTCTCCTCCAAAGGATCACAGCTCCTCGCCAGCAAAGGAACACAGCTGGATGGAGAATGACTTCGACGAGCTGACAGAAGTAGGCTTCAGAAGGTAATAGCAAACTTCTCTGAGCTAGAGGAGGATGTTTGAACCCATTGCAAGGAAGCTAAAAACTTTGAAAAAAGATTAGATGAATGGCTAACTAGAATAAACAGTGTAGAGAAGACCTTAAATGACCTGACAGAGCTGAAAACCGTGGCGCAAGAACTATGTGACGCATGCATAAACTTCAATAGCCAATTCAATCATGTGGAAGAAAGGGTATCAGTGATTGAAGATCAAATTAATTAACTGGGTGTGGTGATGGGCAGCTATAATCCCGGCTACTCAGGAGGCTGAGGCAGGAGAATTGCTTGAGCCCAGTAGTTTCAGGCTGCAGTGAGCTGTGATCGAGCTACTGCACTTCAGCCTGTGTGACAGAGCCAGACCTTGTCTTAAAAAAAAAGAGTCCTGGCCGGGTACGGTGGCTCACGTCTGTAATCCCAGCACTTTGGGAGGCTGAGGAGGGAGGATCACCTGAGGTCAGGAGTTCGAGACAAGCCTGGCCAATATGGTGAAACCCCAACTGTACTAAAAATACAAAAATTAGCTGGGCACAGTAGTGGGAGCCTGCAGTCCCAGTTACTCGGGAGGCTGAGGCAGGAGAACTGCTTGAACCTGGGAGACAGTGGTTGCAGTGAGCTGAGATCATACCACTGCAATCCAGCCTGGGTGACAGAGTGAGACTCCATCTCAAAAAAAAAAAAAAAAAAAAGTCCTAAAAGCCCCCAAATGATTGTCCATGTTCAGTGAGCATAGCTGTGAGCCATGGATCAGTATCCTTAAGAATTTCAGAGTTGGCCGGGCGCGGTGGCTCAAGCCTGTAATCCCAGCACTCTGGGAGGCCGAGACGGGCGGATCACGAGGTCAGGAGATCGAAACCATCCTTGCTAACCCGGTGAAACCCCGTCTCTACTAAAAAATACAAAAAAACTAGCCGGGCGAGGTGGCGGGCGCCTGTGGTCCCAGCTGCTCAGGAGGCTGAGGCAGGAGAATGGCGTGAACCCGGGAGGCGGAGCTTGCAGTGAGCTGAGATCGCGCCACTGCACTCTAGCCTGGGCGACAAAGCGAGACTCCGTCTCAAAAAAAAAAAAAAAAAAGAATTTCAGAGTTTTAAGAAATGCAAAGTTTTCATTCCTACTGGTAGATATGGGATGATCATGAAGATAAGCAGACCAGTGCTTGTCTGTCTCAAACGAGGGGCGCTGAGCAGCTCTCCCCCGGCTCTGGTGGCTCGACAAGGCTGCTGTGGCAATAGGAGCTGGCCTGGGTGGCCCTGACTCTCCACTTCCTCTGTGGTCAGGGCTGACCCTTCTTAACCCTATTTTCCAAATAAGGAGTGGAGATGCAGAGCGCTGCTGGCCCTGGGAGGCAGGAGCTGTGTGAGGGCCGGAGTGGAGGTTGTCATAAGTCTCACCTGTCTCCAAGGCTCCAGCAACCCTGGAGAGCAGAGTGGGCCACGCAGGTTTCGTCGCTCACGCAGCAAGGTGCCCAGGGTGCTGAGAAGCCAGGCCGCGCTAGACCGTGGGTCAGTGAAAGGCCAGGGCAGGGCAGTCCTGGGGAGTGCAGCTGGACCTGTCCTCGCCCTGGTTGGCTCAGCTGCCCTGGACAGGTGGGGGCTCCTACCAGCTGCTCTCACCCCTGAGTCCCAGCCTCCCATTCTGGCCCTGATGCTGGGGGCAGTGGTACTCTCGCGGGTCAGTGTGACCAGTTGGAGAGTGGCTTCTGGCCATGAGGTGTGCAATAAGCTAGTTTTGGGGACACTGCTTTTCTGAAACTGCACTTGCTCAGATGAAAGTGGGGTCCAGGCCCCTCACTGCCCAGACACAGAGGACAGGATAGGGGGAGACTGGGCTGGAGGCAGCTGGTCCATGGAGGGCCATGCTCCAAAATCTGAACTTGAGAGACGCACACTCGTCCTCAGGTGGTGCGGGGCCCAGGGCTGCGGGTCACCAAATGATCCCATGCCATTCCAGAGCCCAAATGACCTGTTGCAGGTTCAGACACCTGTGTCCTGACAGAAACAACTGGTCTACAGCACAGGGAGAGGTGTGGACAGGGCTGCGGAGGAAGCCCCGGACTCCGAGAGAGAACACAGCCTGTGAGGACTCCCTTGCACCCTTGGTCACGTCAGGGCACTCGGGCTTCACTGCGAGCTTCTGTGGCTCTCACCTGCCAGCATCCCTGTCCCATCCTGGTAGCTGCACCATGCGCCCTTCAAGGAACCCCCTCTCTGCTGGGTCCAGGTAGATGAGATGATCGGGGCAGTCTCCCTTCTGGGGTAGGCCCGAGGCTCCGAGGCCTGGGCTGGACAGGTCAGCATGCGCCCCTCCCCCAGTGTGCTTGGCACAGGGCTGAGACCCACATCAGGCTCACATGACTCAGGGGCAGAGCCAACCTCCCACTGGGTCTGCTGACTGCAGGGGGTGACTTGGAGTCGCCTAGGACTATCGCAGGCTGAGTGACGATGTGGCCAGTTCAGAGACAGCAGAGCCACGAAAGGGGAAACTCGCCAGGCAGCCCTGATCTGTCGAGTCAGGAGGGCCAAGGAATTCCCACTTTTGCTTGTCACTTTTTTTTTTTTTTTTTTGAGGCGGAGTCTCGCTCTGTCCCCCTGGCAGGAGTGCAATGGCACGATCTCGGCTCACTACAAGCTCCGCCTCCCGGGTTCCCGCCATTCTCTTGCCTCAGCCTCCTGAGTAGCTGGGACTACAGGCGCCCGCCACCACGCCCGGCTAATTGTTTGTATTTTTAGTAGAGACGGGGTTTCACCATGGTCTCGATCTCCTGACCTTGTGATCCGCCCGCCTCGGCCTCCCAAAGTGCTGGGATTACAGGCGTGAGCCACCGCGCCCGGCTTGCTTGTCACTTTGACTTCATTTTCTGCTGTCTACATCAGAAAGTCCTAACAAGTACGCCTACCGGCCAGGACAGAGCTCCTCTGGGGTTCTTTAAGGCGTCAGCTGCCAAAGGACCCCACAAACCACACGGAGGAGGCCACAGGACAGGTCCCCAGGTGGGCGGGGCTTCCCCATCACACTGGTGGCCGCACCCCACAGCCTGAACCCTTGCTGTCCTATGGAAACACAGGGTGAGCCCACATGCAGTTCCGCATTTACCAGGAGCCATGCTAGAAAAGCAGAAGTAGCTAAAATGCAGACTTAACTTTACATTTTATTTAACCCAACGTATCCAAAATATCATTTCAACAAGTCTTCTACATAAAAAATTATTCAGGAGCTGCCCCGCCTCACACAGCCCTTTGTCCTCTGAGAAAGGCAGGAAAGGCAGAGGCTGAACAGGGAGGCTTCACCCGCAGGGCCCAGCTCACCGCGGGAAGCTATGCTGGCCCCAAGGGACTTACACAATGAAAAGATGAAATTCTGAAACAAAGTATCTACACTAGCCCAGAAAACTTAAGTGAAAGGATGAAATTCTGAAACAAAGTATCTTTAGGACGCAGATACCACTCAGTACTGACAAAGACCTGGCTACTGCCGTCAGCACAGGGACCCCTGGGGGTTGGAGAGTCCACTCTGGAAAGCACTCACTGCACACAAATAGACACATGAGATGAAAAAGGAGCTACCCAGGGCTGAGGGCTGTCACCCCTGGGTGGGGAAATTACGGATGGTGTGTGTCATCTTTTCAAGTATATCTTTATGCTAAAAAACCATTAATTTAATAAAATTGTTCAGTGAGATATTTTACATTCTTTTTTTTGTACCAAGTTTTCTAAATCTGTGTATTTCACACGACCAGCACCTCTCAATTCCGACAGCCACAGCTTCCCAGCCCCAGCATGCGGCCGGTGGCCCCCACTGGTCAGCACAGGTGGATCTGAAGGCCCCTGTCAGGGTCTCTGCTGGTCTGCAGCCAGCACACAGGGGCTGAACATTGACGGCCCAAAACTGTCCAGCACTCGGTGTCGTCCCAGGCCTCACACACCACGTGGGCACAGCAGGACAGGTGTGACCCCTCCCCCAGGGGAGGCGGCTGAGGCTCAAGAATGGAAGTGACCCCCCAGCTTGGAGACAGTAGGGTTTGAACCCAGGTGTGTCTGGGGTCCTGCACGGTGACCCGTGGCCCAGGCAGACTCATTACTGAGTCTCCAGGTGGCTCCCACAACGAGTTAGGGAAGGAGGCCTCCAGGCCGGCTCTGTGACCCCTGACCCCGCACCTGCCCACCAGGGGACATCCCAGCCTTTCAGTTCTTCAGACCTCAGGGACACCTGACCTTTGCTCAGCATTCTCCAGGGGACAAAGGCAGCCCTCAGGTAAGACTGGAGCCCAGCGGGGGGACCCGGAGGCCCGAGACGGCGGGAGTGATTCCCAGGGCGACGCAGCTCTCAGGCAGGGCGGCAGGAGCAGCCCCTTCCTCCCTTTGAGGCGGCCACACTGCGCCCCCACCTTCCCAAGAGCAGAGGGCGGGAAAGCTCAGACGGGGGAGGCAGGGCCCGGCAGTACGCCGGTCACCCACCTGCGAGGGAGGACGCTGTCCCGGTCCCGCAGCACAGTGGCAGCGCGGGTGGTCACCGGTGACCGCCGAGACCCCACGCCTGGACACCGCGGCCACTCCCCTCGGGGCCTCCCCCTCCCCCCACGGGGATATCCCCCTTCCCTCCCTCCTCCCCGCGCGGGGCCTCCCCCCACCCCTCCCCCCACCCCTCCCCACACCAGGCCCGCTCTTCCCCCGCCCCTCCCCTCCCCCCGCGACCCCGCCCCCCCGGCCCTGCCCGTCCCACCGCCCGCACTCACGTCGTCCATGAGCAGAAGCAGGATGTTGGGGGGCTGCGGGGCGCCCGAGGCCCCCATGCCCCCGGCGCTCAGCACCAGCAACAGCCGCCACCACCTCGTCGCCGCGACAACCGCCGCCATGGCAACCACCCGAGCCGCGGAGCCGGAGCCAGCGAGCCGACCCAGCAGCGAGCGTCCGCCGGCCCTTCCGGCTGGGCTGCGGGGCGGGGCCTGGACGGCCTCGTGACCAGTGGGGCGGGGCCAGAGTCCGCGCCGGGACGGAGGCGGGGCCTGGACGGCCTCGTGACCAGTGGGGCGGGGCCAGAGCCAGCTGCGAGGCTGGCGGGGCGGGGTTTGGGGGGGGCTGCGAGACCAGCGGCGGGTCACGTGATGCGACGCCAGCGCCGGGCCTCCCAAGATGGCGGTGTGCATCGCGGTGATCGCCAAGGAGGTGCGTACGCGCTGCGCGGGGCGTCCGGGCCCGCACCATCCTCGCCTCTCCGCTCTCTTTCTCCTTCTTCCCTGGGCCTAGAAAGCGCCTTAGGAAATGGGACCTGGAGGAGGCCTTCGCCGAACTCCAGGGGTCAGGGGCTTCGCGGTGGACGAGCCACCCGGCAGACCCTGAGCTGCCCAGCTCCGCGCTTGCCCGTCTCGCTGCTGAACGCACCCCTCGGCGCCCCAGGTCTCCTCCCCGCCAGGACCCACCAGAAGCCTAGGTGGTCCGGGGCACTGCCTCCGTCCTCAGTAGGTTCTGCCGGTTCTCCCATCCAGCGCTGGCTCCCCGCGTACGTCCCTTCGGCCAGTCTCCCAGGAGCCGAGTTAAAAACAAATCGGATCCTGTCACGCCTCTGCCTGAGACCTGTGCAGTGGCTTCTCGTTGCCTTAGGATGCTGTCTGAATAACCTGGTCTGGTATCCTTTCCCCCCATAACCCTTGGCACTCTCCGCTCCAACCAACCAATTCGGCAGCTCCCTGGACATGCTTTGCCCTCTCACCTCTGGGCCTTTGCACCCGGAACACCTCTCCCCAGCTCCCACCCTCTTTACTGGCCCACGTACATTTCTTCTGGAAAGCATTTTCTGAAGGCTGAGACTGAGCTGGGTGGCTGTCCACACTGTGCTCCTGCTGCATGGAGCCTTCATTTCCTAGCCAGGGTCTGCCCTGAGACCACTCTGGAGGCCGCTCCCTGCTGTGCAGTGGCTGCTGCTAAGCTTCTCATGGGCTTCCCTCCTGGCCACACATGATCATTTGCTTGTTTGTGGGTTTATTAACTGGGTATCATGTAGCCCCATGAGAGTAGTGAGGACTCTTGTTCACTGTATTTCTGCAGGACCCAGTGCTGAATAGACACAGGGTAAATGGTGGTGTGTGAAAGCCCAAGAAAGCAGCTGTCAATTCTGGGCTTACGATGGTCAGGAATGAGAAATGAAGGGAATTTGAGCTGAGTCTTGAAGGGTTTAGTAAAAGGGTCAGTGTCAAGGTGAAGAAAAGCCAGTATTTAGGGTGCTGTATTTGGGTGACCATGCAGAGCTAGAGGTGGGCTGAGGCAGAGTGGCCTCCAGGAGAAGGTGAGAGGCCTCCCCGGGTGCCAGGCTTGATCGTCAGGCTGTGCTCAGGCCCATTTTTCTGAGTTGTCTTTTCTGGCCACCCTACTGCTGCTGCTTTGCAAACAACACATAAATCTTCTTAGGTTAGATGGGATCCCCTGAAGGCAGTGCCCACTGCGGCCTGGAGAATGAAGCGGTGGGCCTTAGAGAATGGGAATGCATTCCCCAGGTAGCTGAAGGTCACGGCTCTGCAGCATAGTTCAGAGCTGGTGTGCGCTGGGTGGAGTCTTGTCCTTTCAGTCGCCGTCATCCTTTCTTGCAGAATTACCCCCTCTACATTCGCAGCACCCCCACGGAGAACGAGCTGAAGTTCCACTACATGGTGCACACATCTCTGGACGTGGTGGATGAGAAGATCTCCGCAATGGGGAAGGCCCTGGTCGACCAGAGGGAGCTGTACTTGGGCCTGCTCTACCCCACGGAGGACTACAAGGTGTATCTTTCAGGGCAGGGTGTGTGTCAGGGAGTACCTACAATTGCAGGATGTACTTTAAGATCAGATAGCTTGAAACGTTTGAGAAGAAAGAAGAAGAGGTGAGAGTTTTTGGCCAGCCAGGGAATTAGGGACGCCTGAGGTGAATGAAGGCCTCTAATTCTTCTCTCTCTTTCACTGGAAGAATCATTTGGGAAAAGCAAGGTTAGAATGCCCTGTAGAATGTTTTGGTTTGCACGTGTCTGTTGTTTGGTTTGCAAAGGAACTGGGACACTTCTGCTTTGTACCTGCAAGGATTTCTTTCTGTGCTTTTCAGGGGGAGCCACCACCTTTGAGCAGGGGATAACGGTTTCATTTATTTTGTTAGGCCTTGCCTCGTACGTCACTAGACACTCGTCTAGTCCCTTGGGACAAATCACTTGGGGCCATGGAGTTCAAAGGCCTTCCCAAAAGCGGTAGTGTAGCTTGTCCATGGTGACATTTGCTGGTAGCCACTATTTTACAAAACAACGTGGCCTCTAGAGAGGGGATCTGCCTTGTTCTCGAAGCCTCTGCTTTTGCAGTTAAGTTTCTGGTCCAGGCATTGATTCCTAAAGAGGGTGAGGTGATCCAGACAGACAGACTCAGAGTCTAGGTGATTCAGCTCTTGGAGTGTGAACTGGGTAAGGCTTGGCTGCCTGCCCCTTGCTTCTCCCGCAAACACCAGACGTCGCCCTGGCGAAGTATTTAGGCTCGCACCCAGCACGGTCACTGCAGGACCAGCCCAGCCTGGGCATTTCCTGTGATTCAAGGTTGCCACGTTTCTCCAAAGGGAGGGCCCGCAGAGGGTCCTCCGCCGGCGGTCTCTGTGTTATGAGTGCCTTCCCTAACCAGCTGCGCAGGTACGGCTACGTCACCAATTCCAAGGTAAAGTTTGTCATGGTGGTGGATTCCTCCAACACAGCCCTTCGAGACAACGAAATTCGCAGCGTAAGTCAGGGGGTTAGAAGGCCATGCCCGAGTGGGTGTTTTGTTTTTCCTTTTTGACTTTGTTTTGAAATGCTGAGAAACGAAAAATCTGGCACTGGCTGTGTGTACCTGGCAATGTCACAGTTTGCTGGGTCTTTTTCAGATGTTCCGGAAGCTACACAACTCCTACACGGACGTGATGTGCAACCCCTTCTACAACCCAGGGGACCGCATCCAGTCCAGGTGGGCCCTACTTCCTGCGTCCGATCCAGTCCAGGTGGGCCCTACTTCCTGTGTCTGATCCAGTCCAGGTGGGCCCTACTTCCTGTGTCCGATCCAGTGCAGGTGGGCCTACTTCACTGTGTCCGCATCAGTGCAGGTGGGCTCTACTTCCTGTGTCCGATCCAGTGCAGGTGGGCCCTACTTCCTGTGTCCGATCCAGTCCAGGTGGGCCCCTACTCCTGTGTCGATCCAGTCAGGTGGAGCCCTACTTCTGTCGATCCAGTGCAGGTAGGCCCTACTTCCTGTGTCGATCCAGTCCAGGTGGGCCTGCTCTGTGTCGATCAGTCCAGTGGAGCCCTACTTCCTGTGTCGATCCAGTGCAGGTGGGCCCTACTCCTGTGTCGATCCAGTCCAGGTGGGCCTGCTCCTGTGTCCACATCCAGTGCAGGTGGGCCCTACTTCCTGTGTCCGATCCAGTGCAGGTGGGCCCTACTCCTGTGTCCGATCCAGTCCAGGTGGGCCCTGCTCCTGTGTCCACATCCAGTGCAGGTGGGCCCTGCTTTCTGTGTCTTGCTGCCTTCTCTCTGTAGGACCCGCCTTGCCATTTTGGTTGCCAAAATGCAACCATTTGGAAAATAAGGGAGGAAAGGTCTTTTTAAGCTATGAGCACCATCCCCCTAAAACCCCTAGGGCAGAGGTTTTAAAGCCACAAAGCCCTGTTTCTCCACACCAACTCTTACACAGATCTCCGGCGCGTAAAGTGGATGGAGTGTGTGCAGTGTGGGGAGCAGAGCTTGCCCATTTGGCTTCCCAGGTGTGCCCAGTGGGTACCTGGGGCACCTGCAGGACTCAGGGCCAAGCACATGGGCAGTGGCTTTCAGGGATCACACATCCTCTTGTCACTACCTGATCTTTTATGTCGAATTTGAACAGTCAGGAACCTGGTTTGCAGGCATCTTCCGAATGGCCCAGAAAGTAAACAGACTTAACTTTTGAATGGCATGAGGGAAATGTGGGGTCCACGCCTACACTCCAGACTTGCTTCCAGTGAGTCCCCAGTTCCAAGACATAATTTCTTGTGGTTGGCAGGCAGGAGGACGCTGCAGTGACCCCAGCCAGGCCCTTCCCTCCACCAGGACTCTGTCTTGGGGCCATCCTGGGTTCCAGATGGGAGCAGGCAGGCGAACGTCCATGCAGTCCTGCCTCCTGGGCTGCACAGGCCTGTCCTTGCCACACCACTATCCTGCCTGCCCATGCTGCTCCCTCCTCCACCCCTTCCTGGGGCCTTGGGAGACTGCACAGGGAACTTGGAGGCAGCAGATGGGTTCTCAGTGCCTGGTGGGGCAGGACTCCTGTCCTGACCTCTCAGCTGAGTTCACGTTTCTGGACCTTGGAGAAGGCCCTGAGCATCCTGTGGACGGAGCCCTGCTGCCCTGTCTGTCTCCGTGAGCAGAGAGGTGGAGGGCCTGGCTTTCCTCTGAGTGGGTCTGTTTCTCTTAGCAGGGCCTTTGATAACATGGTGACGTCCATGATGATACAGGTGTGCTGAATAAGCTGTGCTGCCGGCCATCGCAGAGGATCCCACGCGTGACCGTGGTGGCCGTCAGTCTCTTCTCGTCGCCTCTTCCTGAGTGGGACGCCCGGGGCTTTCAGGGCAGGCAGCTGTGCATGTTCTCTCAACTAAAGGTCTTGTGAGATGAGATTTGGCTTTTTCCTTCCGTGTCAGCCAAGGATTTAACTAAGAATTCAACTAAGGACTTTCAGGGGTGTGGGCAGAGGTTTGGGATTAGATGGTGTAGGAAGCCTGTCCCCAGTTGTCCCGAAGGGGCAGAGGCAGGGGCGCCTGGAGCCAAGAGTTCCTGAGCCTGCAGGACCTGTGACCATGTGGGTCGCCCATTGGCTAAACAGGTGGACTGGTCTGGAGGGGGCGGCCTCCTGAGCCCAGAGCCAGCCTAGGATCTAGGGGCAAAAGGGGAGCCAGCGTGCCTTCCCACAGGGGAGGGCCCTCCTCTTTCTGGACTTGGCCTCCATTCTTTGCATCTGGCCCAACGTCTAGACTCAGCCTGGCCTGAAAAGAACGCTTGTGAAACCTGGGAAGCCTTGTGGCCCCGTGGCGTTGGCTCAGCTGCAGCCATCATCCTAAGCCCTGGAGTGCAGACTTGAGGCGCCCCTTCCTGCCTGTTGGTGCTGAGGGGGTTCGGTGCCGTGTCGCTTGATGACATGACTGACTACCACCCAGGGCAGCGGCCGAGCCCATAGTGGTGTCAGTGCCGCCGGCATCCTTGGGGTCCAGCAGTCGAGGCTCAGGCAGCTGAGGAGACCCCCCCGCAGAGCTGGTTCCAGCACTGGTCCAGGACTGGAGAGTTTCTCAAGGACCTTGAAGACCCCAGGAGCGCCTGCAGCAGGAAAGGCTGTAAGGGGGTCAGCCTGGGGCAGACACAGGGAGGGGAACTTTCTCGATACATATTTGCCTTTTCATCTCATCCAGCAAGCACAGTGTTAATTTTATAAATTACAGAAGAAGAAATCAGCAAGGAGTGTGTGTGAAAACCACACGTCCCAGGCCTCCCCCGCCCCAGGGTGAATTGGAAGTCCTGGCGTGGGCCGAGGCACACCGGGCAGCTGGTCTGAGTGCACGTGGGCCACAGGCCACCCTCACAGGGTTAAATCTTTAACAAGAGCCTCATGTTTGTTAGAAGGTGGGACCCCAGCCCAAGCACCTAGCACCTCCCCACTGCCGCCCAGTGTGAAATCTTTGCCTTTTAGTGGGGATCGCTCCTGCCTGAGTCCTGGCTGTGGTGGGGACTCTGCAAGTTGCTAACCCAGCATCCATTCTCCTTCCTCCCTACTAACAGAACTCCGGTGCCTCTGCACGGTTCTGACAGTGGGCAGATGAGAACCGTGTCCTGGCCTCCCTCGCAGCCTGGGGTGTGCAGCTGTGGCATGGAGGTGGTGGTGCTAGGAGAGACTTGCGGGGAAGCTCCTGTGAAGGGGGCTCAGCTGCCACGTGCAGGGCCCTTCCCCTTTGCCTTCTTCCTGCCTGGAACATGGATGTGATGGCTGGTGCTGGGACAGCTGTCCTGAGAGCATGAGGAAGGAGTCACACCCTGAGGACAGTGGAGCTGATGCACAATGCAGGAAGGAGGACCCTGTGCCTTTGCTGACACAGAATGCGGGAAGGACCTGTGCCTTTGCTGACAAGGTTGCGCCCTCCTGCCCTGGGCCCCCTGTCTCCATGGCTGGTGTGGCCTGCACCCTGAGCCACTGCAGCCTGGGTCGCAGAGCAGGACCCAGCAGCACGGACTGGGATTGGGTGTGGAAGGCAGCAGCCCAGGATCCTCCACGGCTGGTGGCCCTGGGCTCCTGGGGCCCGAGACTCAGGGGTCCTGAGACAGGGACCTCCCTGCTCCACTGCTGAGTCCAGAGGCAGGGACGCTGATCCTGCCCAGGTCCTTTGAAGAAAGGCCCTGAATATCTTCCTATGAAACTTGCCAGGCACCCTCGCCAGCCCCCCAACTAACGGAGTGTGGCCCCGCCCGCCCAGTCCTAAATGACTCTGCAGTGGGGTGGACCCTCCCTGGGCAGGGACAAGGCCATCTGCCCTCCATGGTCCTCATTGCTGGGAGATGCTGCCGATGTCCGGCACTCTCCTGTTCCACCTGCTGGCCCACGCTGTGGCTCCCTGGCTGTGCAGAGCCACCACCTTCCTTCCCACGGCACGGCGGGCACCCAGTGGCTCCCACACTGCAGCCAGGTCCTTTCGCCCACAGAGCAGGAGAGCCCAGGCTGAATCCCAGCGCCCCGTCCCGAGCTCCCCGCGTGTGTTTCACTGGCAGATCCAGGGGCTGGGCAGCCACGCCAGCCTGTGTAAACAGCTAAGGATGGCTCAGGGGCCTGAGGCTGGGTTTGGCCATCTCCACTGTGCTCTGTGGCTCTGGGCACCCAGGATGACACTGCAGACCTGTGTGTGACCCATTTTGCTGACTGAGTGCAGGCTGCACATGTCCCATCTGAAGGAGCTGCGAAGGCCTTCCCTGCTGGGACCCACATCCGCTGTGCTGGGAAAAGGCCTTGCGGCCACTGCACACCCAGGATGGCTGGGCCGTCCACACCCACCCCTAGGGGACCCCCCAGCAGGGGACAGAAAGTTGCCTCCTAAGATGGCCCTGATCATGCCCCAGGTCTGATGGTGAAACGTGATCTCCTTTGTGCCTTCCTGAACACAGACTTCAGTGAAACTTTGGAGGCATATCTGTGCTTGTGTTTCGGGTCGATGTTGAAAGGATTAGACCATTTCTCCACTGGAGGTGAACATGGCCTGGTCTCATCAGGCCACAAGGAGATGCTGCTCTGGGTGACTGAGTGGGATCAGGTCTGACACGACAGTCCCTGGGGCTGACCCAGCATGAAGGAGACACAATGGGAACCTTGCAGGTGGGCTCCTGGGGCCGCCGCCACCGCCGCGACAGTGCAGCACCAGTCCACCCTCGACCCAGCGGGCAGTGCCGCTCCTGCCTCTGCCTGCAGAGCCTGGGATTCGGTGTCATCACAGGGCCCCCCCCAAGGAGAGCTGCCTGTGGAGTCGAGGACCAGGGGACCCCGGCCCCTCTCATGCTCCCTGCTGTCCCCCAGTGACCACCTGTGGGGGCAGGAGAGGGTCTTGGAGCCCCCAGTCTCAGCTCAGCCAGGCAGAGGCCACCCGGATGGCCGGGCTCTGGACCCAGTGGCGCCTGGGGCACAGTGTTGTTCTGGTCCCCGGTGCCAGCTGGCCCAGCCCCTGAATCCTGGACGCCACCACGTGTGCTCTGGAGGCAGAGGGCTTTTACCAGAATGATGTGAGTAGGAAGAGCCCCCTACTCCCGCCCCTGTGCTGGCCACTGCTCATCCTGGGCCCCAGGTGGTGGCTATGTCCCGGCACAGATGGCTTGAGCCCAGAGCCACCAGCCACTGACTATGACTGCCCCAGTTGCACACGTTGAGCTGGGGCTGCCCGGGACCAAGACCTCCTGGTGCTGCTGGACTACTCAAGTGATCCTGCTGAGGGCCTCCAGCTCAACGCTGGCAAAGCTGGGGACAGAGGAGCTCTGGTCACATGGCTGTGTGGTTGCAGGGTGCGCCTGGGCTGATACGGCGGACAGGGAGGGCTGGCCTGGAAAGGCTGAGGCTTCAGGGGTCTAATGGGCCAGAACCACAGGGCAAGTCACTGTGGACCACGTGCTCAAGCCTACAGCGGCCCCAGGCCTTGCTAGGACAGGTAGCAGGCACCTGAGCTATCCTCTGCCCCCTCAGACTCCACGGGCAACGGGGAAATGGAGGCTCGGGAGGCTGCCCTGGCAGCAGAGAGGCTGTGAGGCAGAACTGTCCTGGCCCTGTCCCTACCAGGGGTGACCTGCCCGTGACCAGGACCTGGGACGTGTGGGCTGGGACCTGTGTGTGGGTCTCCCCAGTACTCACTACTACATAAACATTTACAAATACGACACAAACTTGTTTCATTACAAAAGCAATGTCATCCCATTGCCCAAAACAGTGGGAAATGGAAGAATGCATCTGTGGTTCTAAAATTCCAATGCAAGCACGTGGAGTGTTTGATTCTTTCATTTTCATCAAGATACGATTATACAACTCGATGAGGTGCTGTGAGGGCCGCAGTTTGCGATGCTGTGAATCTAGGGTCCATGGCGCTGTCATGCCGGGCTCTGGTGAACATCTGCAGAGATGATGCTTTTTCACCTTTTTCAATCACTTCTAATATGGCCAACATGCAGGTGAACAGACACTCGCTGACCACTGTCATCGAGATGCAGGGGAGGAACTTTCACGAAAGGAGGCTGAAGCCAGAGTCACTGCCCAGGCCGGGAGCCGCGCTGTTGCTGGTGGGCACGCGGACTGGAGCAGCCACTGTGGAAGGCGGTGTGGCAGCTCCTCACAAAGCCAGAGATGCGGTTACCAGGTGTGGGCCAGCCCTCCTGATGGGGCTGGGAGGTGGGTGACCTGCCTGGGGACACCGCTCTGTCCACCCAGGCCCGTGCTGCCTCTCCCGCAGTCACCATCCTGGGCTTCTGAGCTGCACACTTGGTGGAGGAGAGGTGCTGCTGAGGAAGTGCCCAAATGGTCCCTGAGGCCATGGAGGCCTGGCCCGGGAACCTCAGCGTAGGCTCAGCCCCGTGGCAAGGTGGTTGCCCCATCAGAGGGTGCAGGAGCCCGCCACCTTGCGGGTGCTGCCACCCTGGGTCCTGTACTGCCTCTGCCGCCTCCCACTGGCTCTATGCAAACCCAGGCCGATTGGTAAGCAGAGAACAGCCTGGGCAGAGAGCAACTGCTGTGCTCAGGCCTGGCTCTGCTCTGCACAGCCACTCCCCTGACTCCTGGGTCTTCCCAGGCCAACCGGATAGGCAGAATGCTGGAGACCACTGGAAACGCATGTGCCCCAGAACCCCAGACCAGCAGCAGGAACTGGGGACCTGCCTGGTCCTGGCTGGGGCAGGTGAGAAGCCGGGGCCAGCCAGGCCTAGCCCAGGGGAGACGGTTTTGGGCAAAAGAAAAGGAAGCCAGAGTGTTGGGGCTTCCTCCAGCCATGCTGGGGCTCTGTGTCGCCCCTAAGGAGCTGCCAGAGGGCACGTGGGTTTGGTACTGGTGACCATGACCCTCGAGACTCCCAAGGGTAAGGGGAGGGCTTCCCTGAAAGCTGGCAGGGCAATGGCACAGGCCTCGGCATCCTCGATGGGGTGAGGACAAGGCCCAGAGAGCAGAGGGTGGAGCTGGGGCTGGTGGCTTTCATTCCTCCTGCTGGCTGACCTGTGTCCTTGCATTCCTGCTGGCCCCAGGGCCTGGACACCTCCCCTGGGCCTCAGCCATCCCCAAAGGCAGTCTTTGCCAGAGTCGGGGACACATCACTAGGGGCCGGGTGGACGGGTGGCCTGTGAAGGCACAGAAGTGGGGGGAGACCACCAGGGTGGATTTTGTGCTGGTGGCACCTGGAGGGCAGGCCACCAAGCATGTGTGAGCACGAACAGCAAGAGGAGACACAGGCACGGGGAGGTGGCGGGCAGGGTGCAGAGAGGGGCTCCGCCCCTGTGAACTCCGCGTTTGGGGGAGTCCGCTGGCACCGCCCAGCAGTCAGGAGGCCCTGCACCGGGATCGCACCCTCAGGGGAACCTCTCCCCCGGTCCCGTCCCAGGTGTGGAAGATCAGGGCAGCTTTCAGGTGGTCTTCCAGGCTGTGAGTTGTGACCCTGAAAACGTTTCTGCCCAGGCAGAAATCAACGCCCTGCAATGAGAAGAGGGAGGAAGGTGTGTCCTGGAGCCCCTGACTGCGGCGTGAGGGGCCTCATCTGCCCGTGTCCTGGAGCCCCCAACTGGGGGCTGGGGGCCTTGTCTGCCTGAGCTCAGCAGTGTCCCTGGTACTCAGCATGGTGCAGGGCACTGGCTGAATGATGAAGGACTGCTGGGCCTGTAAGCATCCTGTGGAGGAGGTGGTTTCGCCGCTCTGGACCCCGCGAGATGCGTAGCTGGCATGCCTCACGTACTCAAGCCATGTGTACTCCCTCTTCTTGTGGGGCAGGTGAGTGTCCTTAAAAACACCTTAGCCAGCCTCACATCTGGACAGCCACTAATTTCATGGAGGAAAAGCTCCCTTTAACACCCCCCACTTTCCCTCTGCTGGGGATGGGAGGGAGGGCCTGCCCTGGGAGAAGGGAGAGCCACAATGCTCAGAATCTCTATAGAAACCCTGACACGGAGGCCGGGCGCGTGGCTCACGCCTGTAATCCCAGCGCTCGGCGCGCCGAGGCAGGCGGATCACAAGGTCAGGAGATCGAGACCACGCAAACCCCGTCTCGACTAAAAATACAAAAACTAGCTGGGCGTGGCGGTTTGCAGTCCCAGCTACTCGGGAGGCTGGGGCAGGAGAATGGCATGAACCCAGGAGGCGGAGCTTGCAGTGAGCCAGGATCGCGCCACTGCACTTCAGCCTGGGAGACAGAGCAAGATTCTGTCTCAAAAAAAAAAAAAAAAAAACAAACCCTGACACGGGAAGAGCAGGACCAACACCTGAAAGGCAAGAGAAAACACAGCAAACAAACAGAGCCAGGGAGTTGACGCAGATTCACACACTCAAGAAGGGCGAGGATTTCACAGTAACCACAATTCTCTCTCTCAAGCTGTCGCCGCCCCCATCCCCGGGCTCCCTGATTC